AATTCCGTTAGGGTCCGTTTCAATCATCATAAGTCTGACATCAACTAAAGATAGCTTGCCGGGCAAGGTAATATACGCCCACTGGCAGCTTTGATTTTGAACATAAATATTTAGCAGTGCAGTAACAATCAACAGTATGAAATATTCAACCTTCAGTCATACACTTCTTTTGAACTCTTTAGCACAACACTGAATAATATTGAGTATGAGTTATTGCTCTAGTTCTTGAAAACGTGTTCAATCTTTAACTCGTGAAAACTCTAGAAGGCAAATATTCAATCTTCAGGACTGAATAATAAAACTATAAAACTGTCAAAATCCAGAAAGAATCATGCCTTTAAGTGTTAAGAGCTAAATTTGAAAGCGGTTTCAAGAACAAGGGCAATAACTCATACTAAATATTTTTCAATTCTTCTGATTTCAATAGGGTTCATCCTTGGGTGATTACGAACATTCACACCAAGTTTCATCAAAGTGATTACGTGCTAAAAATTGAACGCGTTTTCAATAGCAAGGGCAGATTCATACGGACCAAGGAAGAGAATTTGAATCTAAGTTGTTTGGACAAGTCTGTGAAAGGTTCGAGGTGCAGAAAACTAGAACCACACCATTTCATCCACAATCCGATGGACTTGTCGAGCGATGTAACCGCACTTTAAAGCAATTTTTGAAAATGTTCTGCCATGAAAATATAACCAATTGGGACGATTCGAAATGTTCTGCCATGAAAATATAACCAGTTGGGACGATTCGCTTCCTTACCTCCTTATGGCATATCGAAGCACGACGCATTCTACCCATTGTACGCCAAATGTTAGGGACTTGCCCCGTAGATCTAATGTTTTGTTCAAATAGAGTATGTGGAATGGTTAAAATCAGCCATGAACACTGCTTATTTGTTTGCATACGAACAATAAGGAAGTGCTGCTAGCTAGGCAACAGAAAAGGGTCTACGATAAAGATTTGAAATGTAACAAGATTTATGTAGGAACCTGGGTCTGGCGTTGGACGGGGCCTTACCTGGTTATAGACAAAATAATCGAACTTACCTATCACTCACAAAAGTCTGAATTCACTTCGCCAATTTCAGTGCATGTCAATCACTTAAAAAAAACTACACAGGCAATAACTTCCCAAAGTATTTGCTCGATACATCGACACCCATTGCTGATGAAGCTTTTGATTCAGAGTCCTCGGAGTCGCCATTGGGATGTAGTGAAATCAGAACGAGTCTGGTAGACTCGTCCGTCCACGACAACTCTATTCTCCTGTTAGTGTTAAGTAGTTTATGGGAAGGGGTTAAAAGTCTTTCTTTTGTTTTGTTTTTTTAAACAAGGTTTCAGTATAATGGATATGAAATTAAAAGTCGACGAGGAAGAGCTTAGGGATTTTAGACAGATCCTACGGGATCCTGCTCCTCTGGGAGGCATGAAGTGCTCTGTGCCTGAGTATATGACTGACATGTTCTAAAACACTGGAAAGCTGTGCATACACAGTACAATATAGCCTTTAAATGTAAAAAAAAGGTAGGTGGACATTTCCTGGATAGACGAAAGTCAGGTGACATATTAACATACATCATGGGAGTAAGGCTGAGATCGAGTCAGTCATCTGGTCTCATTTTGAAATTTGGTGTAGCTGCTGAACAACTGGTGCCAGAAGATGAATAGGATCCTGAACCGAAAGTTATGGATATAAAAAAAATATTTATGGAACTTTTCATTAAAAAAACACTATGTAATTTTGCTTTATTGTTAACTAGTTATGAATTACGTTATGTTAATTTCGTTTCCTTGGGAGAACTCAATTTTAACAAGGGGGGGGGGGGGGGGGGTGTATTTTTTGTGCATAGATATTCCAGGATTTTGCTCTCTTTTGTGACGTCGGGCTCAATTTTGTGTTTACACTTGGTTAGTCCGTACCGATCTGGCTATTCGGCTTGTGGTCTAAATGTATTCCCGGGATGTGTGGTAATCTACTAAGGGAACTTCAACGCTCCGCTCTAGTAATGAATCTGTTCTGAATTAGGGTGAGGGACTCTTAGGGCCGTATGTTAAGGTCGAACTTTAGTCGTACTTTACTCTAAGTGGAGCTTAAGTCAGACTTTAGGTATGCTGCGCTCGATCTTTGATGTAAGTCATGCTTTACTCGAGTGTTTTGTGGACAAAACTAAAGTAAAGTCTAAGATGGGTGGTAGCAGACTTTAGCCGTACTTTATATACGTTTGCGATTGCAATTGTGACAATGGAAGATTATTTCAACCAATTGCACCAAATTAAAGATATTTACCATGTGGAGAGGAGGTTTAAAGACCGCTTCAGATTTCCGAAGGATGCCGTTCTGAATATTTTTGAAATGATTTCTGGTACAACATATTTTTGAAATGATTTCTGGTACAATACGTACAATATAATCATATATTTTTGAAAAAATTCAGTACCCATGCAAAAGGGGTTGTTTAAAGTAAGGTGCTACGTAACAGTTAGTTCGAATCGTGCATATGCAACTTATTTCGAAGACGTGGAATCAGTCTCGTAATTTATCTTCTTTCGAAATTTCCACAGCACTTGTCAAACTCGAAGTGACATATTAATATCTACTTTTTATTGAAATTGGGTTTGCGGATTTGAGAAGTATAATCCGAGGACAGTATCCCTTTAACTAACCTGATGTCGGTTGAGCCAAAGTGAAGCTATCTTGATGGAAATCCATATCGTTATCAAATCATTCTGCAGAGGGTGCATTTTTGCCGGTATCATAGCACATATCATCTGATTTGAATTACTAGAATCAATTGTCTCCAGTATACCACCACCAGTTTCTTTCTCTCTTTTTTTTTCCATCACTACAGATTATTTTTTTGCCTTCATTTTTAAATTATTCCAGCATTTCTTTAACTGCTTGTGATCTCGTTTAAAGAAAGTGGGCATGGAACAAAAATTCGCCTCTATTTCTCTCCACGCCTTTTCCTTCCTTTGTATGGACCAAATATCATTTTGTTTCGACTCCAATACACCCTTAAACTCATCCACTACATCGATAAGGAATTTCTGTTCAATTACAGTAAGTTGGGGTGTCTTCTTCTTGGTATTCTGAGGCGACGACATATTATCTGACATCTTGAATAATCAATCAAATTATGATTTGTAATGACCCTGATGCGTATTTATAGTAAAGACCCCACGGAAGGGGGGAAACATGCCAAATTCTTGCTGTCTGTAAGTGTCCGATCAAAATTTTAGTTAAAAAATGTATCAATCACTTTTTCTATTAACAAATATATTTGAAATTAAATTATAAATTAAAAAAAACCCGATGAATTTATATTATGCCTAAATTTACCATCTTGAAATTTGTTTTCATCGATTTCAATTTGACCATTCTGGCCTGTACATTTGGGAGAATCAACCCCTCCCTTCCCCGAAATACAATAGGTGAGTCCAATCTTCTTCTATATCCAAATCCATCATCAAAATCTGTTTCTATTGTTATTTCATAAATATGATTAATTTTTGTAAATTCATTTTCAAATAAACTTTTAATCTTATTATTTTTTCCATCATATGATTTTTTCCAAAATTCTCTATAAAATTCATATGTATTGCCATCACTTTGAGAAACAATTACTGATTTTATTTTAAAAGGAAATAATATAAATTAGTAATAACCCCGTTATTAAATTCCTTATCAAACATAAATACTGAATGTTTATCTTTCCCATAAATATCTTTAATAACACTGAGGTGATCTCCTGGTAATCCGAAAGATCATTCAGTTTTTAAAACAAATCCATACTATTGTAAAATACCATCTTTAAAGGGTGAAGTTAAATAATAAGGATTTTTCTTTTGAAAATCTTTTATTATTTCATTATCAATCGATTGAATCTTTTTATTCAATTTTTTGGTAATCTTTTAGTTTGTTTTATTATCATCTAAAAGTTTTTGATTGTTTTCTAATTGACTTTTATTTTTAGTTGATTGATTTAAAATAATTCTTATTTATTGCGTCTTTTTTGTGTGGAGGAAATATTAAATTAGATATTTTGAAATTATCCATATCTAAATCATCTTGAAGGGTGTCTCCAAACTGATCCACAAAATATGGTTTGTATTTATTGAGCGATAATATAGAAGAAAGTTGACCACAAAATGTATATCCTGGTTTTTGAATTTAAAAAGTAGATGGTAACCAAATCAATTATTTAGTTGCATCTAATCCATATGAATCAAAAGAATACACTGACTCATCCCCTTTGATATTTCATGTTTAAATCTTCTGCATATCGTGTTAATTGAAAATTTGTATAGTAGTATCTTTTCCATATCTTCGTATAATTTCTTCTAAACTTAAAGAAGTCATTTTTATACATCAGTTCATTTTCATAAAATCTGTCTAAAATTGCTTACGGCATAAATCTACTAAGTTATAAGTTGATGCTGAAGTATTATTTTTCAATGAGATTTTATCGTAAATATTACGGATTGATACCAAATTACGGAAACATTATAACAAAACGAAAACGTAACCATTTGTTACTTGAATTTCAATGTAAATAAAATTGTTCATTGCACTCCCGGGGTTATTACCCATATTGTCCATTGTTGGTAACTTCTAACGGAATCCAATGTTGAATTGGTCTGGTTAAAGTGGTTGTTGGTTGGTGTTGCATATGGAGGTCCTTGAAACTTTCGACAAAGTAAACATTTTCGACGACCTTTTTTACAGACTCGCGACCCTTTAAAATCCAAAAAGTTTGTCTAATTTGATTAAGAGTATCACGGATTCCACTATGATGAATAATTTATGGGCATCCCTTATGATTAGCACACAAAAATAATGCTTTGAAGGCAACAAAACGGGGTGTGTAGTTGTTTCTGGTAAGGTAGAATCGGATGGGTTTTAAAAGTCAACCGCCTACCGCTGCCAACCGGCATACCGGAGTGAAAAAAGGCGCTAAAATGAGCATTGTTAAATTTAAGGATCGTAGATTTCCATATCGTGTTTAAAATAGCAATAATCTCTTTTAAAAATAAAATGGGGCACACAATATAAAGTACAAAAACCTCTAGATTTTTTTTTAATGATCAAGGATTAATTTTGAAGAAAGATTCCTTGGCCTTGATGCTCCATGTTCCCGACGACAGTAAAAAGTTAAGGGAAGTAACTCTGAAACAAACGACCTTGTTCAGTAGTTGTGATCAATAAAAAAAAACTAGAGGTTTTATTGTGTGCCCCATTCTATTTTTAAAAGAGATTATTGCTATTTTAAACACGAAGTTGTTGAACTCGGATTATTTGTTGTTCGTAAGTACACAACGACAACATAAGCAGACTCCGAGGCATCACTAAATCCATGTAATTGACAATTCTTACGTCACTTGATACAGGATAATAACATCTAGGAACCCGAATCTTCATAATTGTAATGAAATCATTGATTAAGCTATTCCAAATTTTAGATTTGTTTTCATCCAATTGACTATCCCAATTGAGTTTCTCTTTGCAAATTTGTTGGAAAAGCACCTTCAACTGAATCGTAAACGGACTTAACAGCCCCAAAGGATCAAATATTTAAAACCACCTTCGTTGAATATGCGTTTGCCTTTTGTAAATATTTCAAATGCGTCCTAAACATTTTCGCTTCCAGTTGACAAATCATCTACATACAATGACTTTGATAAAACTGGCACTATTTTGGGTTCAATTCCTTTATAACTATGCAAATGACGTTGAATTGTACTGTTGAGAACGGCAGGACTAGAAGTTAACCAAAAAACTAATCTACGAAATCGATCTTGAATAATTTCCAAAGGCTCATTGTATATGTTCTTAAACCACAAAAATCGTAACATATCCCTATCATGATAAATAAGTAAGACAATGCTGAGTAAAAACGACTTTTAAACTGAGTCATGAGTAATTACTCACCAATATGAGTATTTTGACTCAGAAATCATCTCCATGTGTCAATTGCGAGTCATCAAATGACTCACTTTGGCATCTGTTGAGTCACATCGCATGAAAGATAAAATCATGTGAGTCATTTGTGAGTCTTATTCGTGTCAATAGCGCGTCAGAGCTGAGTAACAATTGCGTTTTAGCCATATTCTTTGAAATGAGTCGTATGTGCTTTGTTCAGAGTCATCATAATTCGTCAATGTTGTGTCGCTAGCGAGTCACAAGAAAGTCGAAAACTGGTCAATTATTAGTATTCTCGGATATTACACGCGAGTCTGGGGGAGGTCGTCTTCGAGTCATCAGGTTTAGGCAAAGTGAGTCAAAAGTGAGTCATATACTTGTCTCAAATGAGTCCCTGCTCAGGGGCTTTATGGGGAAGTAACCTGGTAACAGTGAAGCCTACAGCAAACCTTCAACATCCAAGTTTGATAAAAAAAAAAAACTACCATAGATCACGATTTAAGGCCTACGCGGTAAGTAATTAGATATTGTTTTTTTGGAAGGGTTCTATAGTAAGTTTTATTCGTGGGTTAGTTTCAAGCTAGTACTAGTAGTAGATGCTTGTGCACAAACACACAAAATGAATCGTGCTTTCGAAAATGGCAGAATGAAAATTATTCGCAGACCAAAGATCAACAATTCGATCGAAGCATAGCAATTATTGAGTGAGAATGTCTACAAAATAGTTGTAACTGGACCCTTAAAATGTTTGCTATTCATAGGTTTGCACTTGAACAGGGCCATTTTGATTCAGATTAAGTCAGGGTAGATCGGTTTTAATCATAGAGTCATTAATTCTATCTCAAAGTTTTGCGGGTTCTAAATAGAAATGACGTGTCGGCTATTAGCCAATCAAAATGCTTCTACATCTATCTTAAGTCCTAAATATAATAGTGTGAATGGGTGAAATTCTGTTGTGAATGAATTCGTTGGGTTGTTATCGGTTTTTAATGTGAAAAGTTGATTTCTATTTGTAGGGTTTGCTGGTTAAATGGCATTAATATCCATTTGTTCATTATTTAATGAAGACCCGCTGAAAATATTTTGTTCAGTTGAATCGGTAAGTATTTATTAGTCATACTAATCAGGACAGAAAGATAAATGAAATCAACACCATATAGCTAAATAGCTCCAGAACACGAAAAAAAAAGGACAGTAAAGAAAAGAAAACTAAAACAATATCATATTAATCAGGGTGGTTTCTTTTTGTACATAAACGAGATAACATATTATCCGAAAAATTAAGAAATATGCGGAATGCCCCGTCCCATATTTGTTAAAAAAAATTATCTTTCCTTTCAGAGACCAGATAATATATCTACACCTCTCATCTTGTACGCTGGGGAATCGGTACATACAGCAAATACATTTACCATCATTGTGGATGAAACAGAAGTAGCTGAAGCTGTTGAATTTGTTAAAGCTTTCGAAATTTTATTTTCTACCATTTTATGTTTTCAA